CAGCACATTTGTGCACACCTTAACCCCATGAACATTGTACCCCTTACATCATAAATAGAACTGTTTCATTCAATACAAAACAACGACTTAATTCTCACGAAACCTTAAAACCCTCCTGTGTCCTCATTGCAACTTTCCAACACCCTTTCAGGACCAAAAACCTATCGATCCCACCAAAGAGATTGACCTAGCCGCTCGGGTTATCCTCTCCATATCTCTCAAATAATAAATTGGTTACGCGTGCGTACGAATTAATTACTCTACAAACAGTATACCGCTCGGAGGAATCTGCAAAATTCCCTCGGCCTCGCTAGCCACTCGGCCGTCACGTAACAGAATAGTTTTATTCACATGTTCATTGTGAACGGAAGAGTTTTCTACTGTATATACATTCAAATATGGCTGCTTTATCATAAGTATTTTCTGAAATAAAGATATATTTATACATACGTACAAAATATTGTTGCATTATAACAATTTTTCCGGTTAAATTATAAACTGATTGTAAAAATGATTGATTGTTTCAATCCAATCACAATTCTTTTCTATCTTTCCTCTTTCGTAACAGAAGGATGATTGAAAGTTTGTAATGAGTGGACAATCATATAGTTAATAAAGAATTAAATGGAAATAATATTTATTTACGTAGTAATTTATGTAAAAATATAATTAAAAACGTATTATATTTGTTGGTAATTATTTATTCAATTATGTACCTGTATTTATTCATTTAAGAAATGTAATAACGATATTGAATATAAATATATAAGACATAAAAGTATGTGGTTTAGTTTCTATGGCCGAAAGTGCAATACATGCAATAAAAAATGTTTCGCGCTATTTTACTTATTAAGAATGAACATATTAATTTTTTTTACCTTTTAGCTACTAAACGCCACTACATTGGCTTTCGTAGATATCATGTTTTTTAAGGGTATGTCGCTGACGTGGCTAACTCTATCTATAGATGTGTAGCATAGTGAACAGTACTACAAATATGGGCGCAATAGACAATAGGGACAAAGTAATAACTAATGTTGAATCCGTCATGAAAAGTACTAAGTGGTACAAAAAACATTTTCTTCGTTTACTTGATATAGCCATTTGGAATGCATTTTGTTTATATAAGATGAAAATAAATAAAAAATTGACATTTCACTTTCAATTAATAAAAGAAATAGTAAAAAAACATAAGACGTTAGACAATAATTACAGCAATCGTAATAACTCTACTGCCAACTACTCATTAAGACTTAAAAAAAAAAACATTTCCCGTCATTTTATAAAACTGTAAATACCATAAAAACGTTGCGAAACTACGTTGTGTGGTCGAAGAATGATGTAAGAAGGAGATCACGGTACGAATGCAAAGATTGTGATGTGGGACACTGCGTCGTTCCTTGCCTTGGTACGTAGACACCCTCCGTACCCTAACTTAGGGAAAAACCCATTATCCGATCAGCGGAAGCTAGCCCTGGAAATCCGAATAGGGAAACGCGATTAGGAAACTCTTGCGAAAGGATCCAACACTAAATCACCTGACACAAGTTCATCGGCTATGACGACTCCAAAAATCATCGATTCGACCCGGGGCGAACAACCTGATGACTACGTAACGCGTCAGCACGACCCAGAAGCGTCACCCTCATCTGGGCCCTAGGATCTCCCGCCAATCGGAACACCCTACTAATAAAACCAGCCTTCAGATCAAGACGATAAGTCATAAGTCATACGTCTTTAGCCAATTGTCATATTCAAGCGCCGGTCATATCGCCGGTCATTCTCAACGTCGACAACATCGAGTGGAGCTCCTGTCCCCGGTATTCCGTTCCTAGCGAGTCAGTGACCGAGACCGCCAGACTCCCTGTCGGGGACCACTATCCTGCGAGCTGCAGTAGCGCCATCCGGTACTCCAGCGATCCAACCACCGAGTCAGGACCAGACGGCGGCACTGCGACTTCCGTTGGACGGGAGGCTTCTAGGAGACCTCCAACCCTAGGGAACGCCACGGAACAAAGGTGTTCACGCACAGTCATCCGACCGGGTCGATCAAAAGAGACTGTCACTGATTACGGCCGCTGAACAAGCCAGGTAGAGGATCCTTCACAAGCTCGACTCATCCTCATTTCATTCTAGTTTATTTCTTAACCCCTCATTTCCGAGCAAACCGAATTCTAACCATTATCGCGATTTCCATGCCTTGCTCCGGTCAACCGGATAAATTAAGAACCCATTAACTTCCGTCAAACAGCTGAGTTCGAAATCTCAGCATCGCAAGACAGACTAGAATCGCGCGCAGACCGCCATTAAGCCGCAAAGAATTCCCGCGTCAGCACTCTGGCGTCCAGTAACCTACCGCCGCTAAAGTGCGCTATCGCGACACCCGAACCGCTGCGGCGCGGAAGTATAATAACCCAGAGAAAGTTAGGACGACGCATCATAGTACACTAGCCACATTGCCATTCGTTCAACCCCTTTCTTTTAAATCCTCACTCCCCTAGATCCCACCAGAGGTGTTGATCTAGCCGCTCGGATCAATCTCGTCACAAAATTAGAATACTCGTTAAATATTCTTCTGAAACGAAACGTGGGGCGGAGCTTAGACCGCAAGGCATCACGGATAGAGTTTTTAGTGCGTTATAGTACCCGAGTAATATAACCAAGAATATAAATAGTGATTAAATTTTCGGTGAATTTATGATAATTGAATTTTTTTAAACACAGTGAAGTAATTTTCAATAATTATAACAAACTGTGAGTGATTATTATGCTATGTGAAAATTGTAATTGTACTTCTGATGATTTTAGATTTTTAAACGTTCAGTTCCAGAATTCCTGAACTTGTAATAGTTGGATACGCCACAATTAATCGGATAACGTAACTTCCTAACGTTTTATGCATCTTAAAATGAATTAGAGTGGCAACACAAACTGCAAAACTAGAAAATCGTCGCAAGCAAGAAAGAAGTAAATTAAAGGGACACAATTTACAGTTAAAGAGTACCTTAACTTCATGAAGATAACTTATTTTAATAAGTTTACTTTTAAGTAATACATTATTTTAAATACAAATTCTCAGTGTTCTTAAATCCTTTAGGGATTTTTAATTTACCGTAACATTCTCGGTTATATTACTTGAATTTAACAACACTAATGACGGATGTTCGCGACCATTCCGGGGCTATCTCTATGTGGTAAAGGGATGGGTGCTAGCGGTCCATAGGTATGCAGCCAAAATATAAACGCGCTCTCGTGTTATCTCCCGCTTTTCTTCTATCTATCGCTCTTCTCTCAGATCTCGTCATGCGACACGAAATTTCTTGCCGAGCAGTCTTGCGCTAAATATCCCACGAGGACAAACAAGGGACGATCCTTTCTCTTTCTCTTCTGATTTCAGATAATCTGTCGCCACATTGCACTACGCAACAGTTTTGCAAAATCTGGGGGAAAGAGAGAGAAAGAGTGTTCCGTGTTTTCTGTCTTTTAATCTTTTTGCCGTTACAGTCTAATCGGCATTCGGGGTCCATATTATCGAATCGACTCCTAGAACCAAAAACAAAATCGCCGGCATCGGCAATGTAATACCGATCTCGATATCGAATTCGTCTCCACTGTAAAAGGAACGGTATTTATAAAGTCCATTCCTAGTGGTTAAGCGGTATTAAACCTCCTTAAATTTGTTGGGGCTTTCGGGAGGGACCCGCGTCCATTGTCGCCAGAGGACCGACATTTCGCAAACGTTGCAGTTCGCTTCATCAGGACAGACACTAATAAAATGTGTCCTCGTTCTTGGGAAGTCCCCTCTTATAGGGTTGAGGTGCATCCTGATTGGTCGGTTCGAGTTGCCTGGTGGGGGGCGCTCAATCCAAGATCGCCAGGTGGGGGGATCGACCAATTCGGTTTTAAAAATTGTTTAACCAATCAAATTAAAACAAAAAATCGAGTAAGGAGTGTTCTAAATGGAATGCGCTTGATATCCTCTGTCACGATTTATGTTATTGGTTTTTTTTTAATGGATTTCTATTGCCTCAATGTTTTCTGGGGAAGAAGTTGGAGGCTTCAGCTATGATTGATGTATTTTTGAATAGAATTTTTTGGCCAGTCTACATATGGTGTTCTGTTATTCCTGAATGTTTGGGGTGTTCTAGTCTGATGGCTCTTTCATGCTCTTTGACCCTTGTGGACCCTCTCCTGTTTCACCGATATGGATCTTCCCTCAGAAACTTTGTTTATACCTGATGAGTATAGTTGTGGTGTAATCGGATTGGGCGCCTCCCACCAGTCAACCCCAACCGGCCAATCAGGATGCACCTCAACCCTATAAGAGGGGACTCCCCAAGAATGAGGACACATTTTATCAGTGTCTGCCCCGATGAAGCGAACTGCAACGTTTACGAAATGTTGGTCCTCTGGCGACAGGATGCACATCTAAAAGGGTACCAATCCTATAAGAGGGGACTCCCCGTGGACGAGGACACATTTCGTCAGGGTCTGCCCTGATGAAGCGAACTGCAACGTTTGCGGCGGTAAACGTCGGCCCTCTGGCGACAATGGACGCAAGCCACTCCCGAAAGCCCCAACAAATTTAAGAAACAACTCTGACCTCGAAAGGTTAAAATCTTTAAGGTATTAGACCTATTTAATACCGACTCGTCTTCACTGCACATATCCGAATTGAATCCGGATAGAATAAAACTAGCTTTAAGTGCATCTCCACTACCTGGTTAGTTCAGAATGAAATAAAACCAGGTGGTCGAGACCCACCCAAAGTAATACTTATCCAATTCGGTATTGAATAAATACTGATGGCGGAGACTTAGTATATGATTTCATTATTATAAAAACTTGGACTAATTACGTTTGTCGGCGTAGCCTCGTTGAGCTACTACGTGTATGTCAAAAATAGATTATTAAATTACAATTACGATATAAAAACTCACTTTCATTAAAAATTGTCACTCTTAGTTCAGCACTATAATTGTTCTTAATGTGTTCATTAGTTTGCCGTTCTAAAAATAGAAGACACCATACAAGTGTGCAATGAAGTTATTTCGGGTCTTTAGGCCAATTCTATCTACTCACAGGAAATTTAGCATAAAAGTTCAGGTGAGACTACATTTTATTGTAATTATAAATAATGATTTATGTTTTCTACAGTAATTTGTTCTCTGTATAGGGGCAACCAATCTCATTAACTAACTCCCGTCTACCAAATCCAGATTATGATTTTGAATATTTGTGTAATCCGTCTAACAGAAATGAGATATTTGAAAATATTCGAAAAAGGAAGAGCCAAGGAGACATAGACAAGGTCCTCGAGTTGTCTCAATCTCCAGAATTACGAGATACGTTTCTGGCAGAGATAAATACGATTCCAAATCATACAGCTGAAGAAGTAATGGAATATGGAGAAAATCCACAAGTAATAAGGGTTTATGGTAAAAAGGCGGAATTGAATTTTGAATGCAAAAGATTGTCAGAATTGGCGAAACATTTGCAATTAATGAAGACGGACCGCTTGGGTCCACTAACAGGACAGAAGAGTTATATACTCCTGACAGACTTGGCAGATATGGAACAGGCACTCGTACAATATTCTGTAGACAAGTTGATCAAAAATAATTTTAAATTAGTCTCGGTACCTGATATTATATCTTCAGAAATTATAAAAAGGTGTGGATTGATATCTAAAGCAGATAGAACACTCGTATATTGTTTAGATTCCCAATACGGAGAAAATGTAAGTCTTTCTGGGACAGCAGAAATGTCAATGGCACAAATGTTAATGAATACTGAATTCACGCGGCAAGAAATCCCTTTAAAATTAGCTGCAGTCAGCAGATGTTATAGAGCTGAAACTTCAACTCTTTACGAAGAACGAGGAATATACAGGTAATGGTGGGATTATATCAAAATTAATTTGATGGTTCTCCATTGTCAGATTGTTGCAGAGTACATCAATTTACGAAAGTTGAAATGTTCGTTTGTTGCGAACCAGAAGAATCCTCAGAGTTTTTGCACAAGATACAGGAGATCCAAGAAAATCTCTTTTCTAATTTAGACTTACATTTTAAAGTATTAGATATGCCTCCACACGAGTTAGGAGCCTCTGCATATCGGTAATATAACTCGATAGAACTACAACGTAATACTCGAACACGTGATACCGACTGTATTTCATATTTTACCATTACAGGAAAATGGATATCGAAGGGTGGATGCCAGGTCGAAAGCAATTTGGCGAATTGTCCAGCTGTAGTAACTGTACCGATTATCAGTCACGTCGATTGAATATTAAGTACAGATCACGATCTGGAAAATTGCTGCATGTTCATACCTTGAATGGTACAGCATGTGCAATACCACGAATGTTGATCGCTATTTGTGAAACTCATCAAACAAAAGATGGAGATATAAAGGTTCCTAAAAAACTTATACCTTACATGCAAGGGAAAACTTTAATCACAAAACAGTCTGCAGCAAATATGAAACCTCATAAACTTCAACAGAATATTTAGTAAATGAAATAAGAACAAAATGTATAAACAAGTTAAGAATGAATATCTACATTTTCATGATAAATCATTACCTGAACACAGTTCAATTATTTTTATTAATACTTATTATATAAGTTTAAATATAGTCCGTGCGCGGTGGTGATGTAGCTATAATAAATTAATAGGTGAGCAGTCTTGCGCTAAATATCCCACGAGGACAAACAAGGGACGATCCTTTCTCTTTCTCTTCTGATTTCAGATAATCTGTCGCCACATTGCACTGATGGGAATTTTTTATTCAATTATGTACCTGTATTTATTCATTTAAGAAATGTAATAACGATATTGAATATAAATATATAAGACATAAAAGTATGTGGTTTAGTTTCTATGGCCGAAAGTGCAATACATGCAATAAAAAATGTTTCGCGCTATTTTACTTATTAAGAATGAACATATTAATTTTTTTTACCTTTTAGCTACTAAACGCCACTACATTGGCTTTCGTAGATATCATGTTTTTTAAGGGTATGTCGCTGACGTGGCTAACTCTATCTATAGATGTGTAGCATAGTGAACAGTACTACAAATATGGGCGCAATAGACAATAGGGACAAAGTAATAACTAATGTTGAATCCGTCATGAAAAGTACTAAGTGGTACAAAAAACATTTTCTTCGTTTACTTGATATAGCCATTTGGAATGCATTTTGTTTATATAAGATGAAAATAAATAAAAAATTGACATTTCACTTTCAATTAATAAAAGAAATAGTAAAAAAACATAAGACGTTAGACAATAATTACAGCAATCGTAATAACTCTACTGCCAACTACTCATTAAGACTTAAAAAAAAAAACATTTCCCGTCATTTTATAAAACTGTAAATACCATAAAAACGTTGCGAAACTACGTTGTGTGGTCGAAGAATGATGTAAGAAGGAGATCACGGTACGAATGCAAAGATTGTGATGTGGGACACTGCGTCGTTCCTTGCCTTGGTACGTAGACACCCTCCGTACCCTAACTTAGGGAAAAACCCATTATCCGATCAGCGGAAGCTAGCCCTGGAAATCCGAATAGGGAAACGCGATTAGGAAACTCTTGCGAAAGGATCCAACACTAAATCACCTGACACAAGTTCATCGGCTATGACGACTCCAAAAATCATCGATTCGACCCGGGGCGAACAACCTGATGACTACGTAACGCGTCAGCACGACCCAGAAGCGTCACCCTCATCTGGGCCCTAGGATCTCCCGCCAATCGGAACACCCTACTAATAAAACCAGCCTTCAGATCAAGACGATAAGTCATAAGTCATACGTCTTTAGCCAATTGTCATATTCAAGCGCCGGTCATATCGCCGGTCATTCTCAACGTCGACAACATCGAGTGGAGCTCCTGTCCCCGGTATTCCGTTCCTAGCGAGTCAGTGACCGAGACCGCCAGACTCCCTGTCGGGGACCACTATCCTGCGAGCTGCAGTAGCGCCATCCGGTACTCCAGCGATCCAACCACCTAGTCAGGACCAGACGGCGGCACTGCGACTTCCGTTGGACGGGAGGCTTCT